TTATTAGCTATACTTCTTCTTTCGTGGTTGCTTTAGGATTTCATTGTACATTTTTAACTTATTACAATGTAACTTCAATAATATTGTACTACTTCATGTAAGATATCAGAATCTTATAACATATATTTCCATTTCCTCCCTCCTGTCCTTTGAGCCATTGTCATACATTTTACTGCTACAGATATTTTAAGTAGTCTATAATAATTATTATATTCATTTTAAACTGTCCATTATTTTTTTAAAAAAATTTTAAAATAAGAAGAAATGAATCTTATATTTACCCACACTTTTACCATTTACAGCACTCTTTATTTCTTTTATAGATCTAACTTTGCATCTGGTATCATTTTCCTTTCATATGAAGATCTTCCTGCAACATTTCCTGTACTGCGGATCTGCTGGAAATGAGTTCACTCAGCTTTTATTTGTCTGAAAATGTTTTTACTTCACTTTAGTGTTTGCAGGATATTTTTACTACATATATAAGTCAGATTGACAGTATTTTTTCTTTCACAACTTTAAAGATGTCATTCCATTGTTTTGTGGCTTGCATTGTTTCTCCCAAGAAATTGATGGTAGTCTTGTCTTTGTAATCTTGTATGTAATATGCCTTTTTCCTCTGGCTGCTTTTAAGATTTTTCTCTTTGTCACTGGTTTTACCGTTTGACTATGATGTGTCTTAGGTGGTTTTCTTTGTGTTTATCCTGGTTGAGATTCATCATCTCTGAAAGTTCCATTTGGTTCTTTTAAAATATTTTCTAGTTCACATTATGACTCATTGTGCCTTTCTAATTTTATTCTTTCATTTAACATTTAACAAATGTTGAGCACCTACACACACCTACTGTGTGTCTGGCATCTGGAAACAAAACAGAGATCCTCGTTCTCATGGGGCATGCATTCTAGGAGGGAGAAGAATGAAAAATAAACATAACAAACATGCTTTTCATGACAGAAAGTAGTAAGTGCTATGGGAAAAAGTAGAGCAGGTTAAGAAAATGGAGATGGGGGGAGCTTGATACAGCAAGGATGGTGAGGGGTTACAGCAGCAAATGTTCAGGGTGAACTATTAACAAAGGCTCGAAGAAGGTGAGGAGGGAGCCACATGGATATCAGGGGAAGAACCTTCCAGGCAAAGGGATTGGCTCCACAGAGACTCACTGTGGTTGGAGTGAAGCAAGCAAGGGAGAGGAGAGTAGGTCAGAGAAGTAAACAGACGGGGAAATAGGTAGAGGCAGGGGGCACAGCTCAGAAAGGGCACCTTGTAGACAATGTTAAACATTTTTTGCTTTTACTCTGAGGTGGGAGCCATTGGAGGGTTTTAAGTGGAGGAGTCACATGATCTGATCTTAGATTTTAAGGGACCACTCGTTGCTGTCTGGCAAATGGCTCTATGGGTACAAGGGCAGAACCGGGAGGGGGGGGACAGGAAGTAATTGCAGTGATCTGGTGAGAGGCTCGGGGCTGGGGTTTGGTGGTGGCACTGGGGTGGCGAGAAGTGCTTAGATTCTGGGTATGTTCTGAAGGTAGGGCTAACAGGCCTTCTGAATGGATTGATGTGGGGTGAGAGAAGGGTCAAGGGTGACTCCCAGGTTATTGGCCTGAGTAAGCAAGAGGATGAACATTCATCAGCTGAAATGTTGCAGCATGGCAGAGTTGGTTCAGGTGTGGTGGTGCAGAGTTTTAGAGCTTATGGGATATCACTATGGAGATACTGAGTAGGCAGTGTGGGATAGGAGACAGGATTTAGCAAGGTGAAGATCACCAGTGGCCTGGCTGGAAGTAGGTTTAGTGGAATGATTGTAAGAGAGAATGCGAAGAGAAAAATGAGGCACAGAGCATGTGGACAGTTCTTTCTAGGAATTTTGCTGCAAAGAGAAGCAAAAAATGCAATGGGTTGATGAGAGAAGATGGGTAAAGAGGAGGGTTTTGTTAAGCTAGAAGAAAAAAGTGAGTTTTTATGCTGGTGAGAATGATCTAGCAGCTCGGGGGATCATAATGTTGGAGATGGAGAAAAACTGCTGTATGTTGCCTCGAGAAAGCTAAAGGATATAGAATCGAGTGCACAGGGAAGGGTTGAGTTTTAGAGGCAAACAGGCAGGAAGATGGCTCCTGGTGCAGAGGCAGGGGCACGTGTGGGAGGGTCTGCCAACGTCCTCAGCTCCTCACCTTCTGAGAGAACCCTTCAGCTACAAGTGGGAGAACACTCAGAGGCAGGTAGAGATGGCCTCTGGGACTAGGCTGGTGCAGACGGAGAGACATAGGCAGCCGGAAGGTGCTGCGCGGTGCACCGTGCAGGTCTGGTGACCTGGGCTGCTGGCACATCATGGCTTTGGGGTGATGGGTTCCAGGTGCCTGAGGAACATCTGGTGCATACGTCCAGGGTGCGGCCCCAGCTCATCCTCTGGGCCTCCTGAGTATGTTTGCAGGCTGCGGGTGGGGCAAACTGGCAGATTCAGGAGCCATCCACATTTCCTTGGCGGGACTTCCAAAGCCTTCTATCATGTGGAACCATGTCTACCCAGAGCACCTGCGGGTCCACTGACTCCAGCATGGGGCCTGCGCTGCAGATGCAGATGATCTGGGGGTGGGGGAGCCTCCAACCCCGACGCTGCGAGAAATGAAGCCCTCAAAGCGTCCAGGTGGTGGGCTGGGGAGAGCGGCCCACTTATACAGAGAAGGCTTCACTGAGATAACATTGAGCAAAGACCCCAAAGCAGCGGGATGCCCTGTTGAGACCTGGGCAGGAGCTTTCCAGGCAGGGGACAGCTCGTGCCAAGGCTCTGTAGTGCTGTAGTGGCAACGACTGTGTTGGCGGCAGTGACAGCAAGAGGCGCAAAGCTGCGAGGAAAGGGGGTGTGCGGCGGGGTCTGCGTGCAGACATGAACTGGGATGGCAGCTGGCAGGAGAGGCGAGGCTGTGTGAGTGCCCAGGTGGGGTGCCCGGATGTTGACTGTGCATATTGGAGGAATGAAGGTAAAGCTTCTCCCGCCCGGGTGCTGATGCTCCGCCAGGCATCGTGTGTCGACTTTCCAGCCGAGACGCTTCTCTGGGCCGCAGGCACCCCCGCCCCAGGCCACCCCTGCTTGGATGGGTGACGCGTCCCATAGAAGCCGCAGGCCTGGACCTGCCCCTCCCCAGGCGCCTCTTCCACATGACCGGAACGCCTATATTCCCGGGCCTGGGCCCTGGGGTCACCCTCGGCCCCTCCACGTTCCATCCACGCTTGCTCGGGCGGGCGCTGCAGTCGCTTCGCCCAGCCGGGGGAGGCCAAGTCCGCCCACGGCCCACGGGCGCCACCGTCTGGCCGCACCGGCCCACGCCTCGGGCCTCCTCTGCAGCTACCCACTCCCTCGCCGGCTCGCGGTCCCGGCCGGGGGAACTAGGGGCCCGAACCCTCCGCCGGCTCCGGGGGCGGCTCCTGCCCGCGGCCCTGCCGGCAGCGTGGGGCGTGAGGCCACGAGCCTCCACCTGGGCCGTCCAGGCCCACCCCGTCCCCAGGGACCTCGAGGCTCCCGGCAGCTGTTGCGTTGAATCTGAGGTCGCAAGCCCCGTGTGGGCCTCAGTTTCCACGTCGGTACGTAGCGGATAGGCGCCCGCGTCCCCTTTAAAATAAGCTTGCTGCGCCCTCCCGCCTCGTTTTTCTCGCGCGACTCCCTCTCCAAGCTGCCCCGCCCCGCAACGCCGGGAGCGCGCTTGCGTCACCCCGCTGACCCCTCCCCCGGCCCCACCCTCGCGCCCGCGCCGACGGGCGAGGGCGAGCCAATGGTTGCGGTGCTTGGGGACACGTGACAGGAGGCGGGCGGGACCCCGCCGGAAGGGGCGAGGCGCAGGCGGGGGCGGTTACGTCACGCGGTAGGTGCCACAGTCGCTGGGCTGACCCCAGCTTCCGTGTCGCTTTGGCCAGGGCAAGCCAGTAGCTGCAGCACTGTCGGGCACGTGACAAGAGTGGGGCGGAGTCTCCGCCGGGAGGGGCGGGGCGAAGGCGGGAGCGGCCGCGAAGCTCGGTAAGGGTCGCCGGCGCCGCGCTGACAGAGCGAGGGTCGCGCCGGGCTCCGGTCCTCAGGTTCCGTGTGTGGGGCAGGGGCCGGGCGGTGGGTGCGGCGCAGGGTCGGAGGGCGGTGGCCAGCAGGCAGGCCTTTACCCCGCTGCTTCTCTTTTTCTGTCACTCGGGGTCTTCGCAGCTCCGGGGCGCACGTCAGACCGAGGAGAAGACCGGCGTGAAGAGATGTGCCTGGGAGGGAGGGGTGGTCACGGGCCGCGTGGGCAGCGCCCTTCTGGCTGTGAAGCCCGGGGGACTCGGGAGAGCCCTGGTTCCTCCCCGACCGGGGGACCGCTGCCAAGCGTTGCTGTTGGCATGAGTTTGCGATGTTAAGCCTGTTTTCATAAACAATAAACGTCACTCTTCCCGGGTTTTTGGCTCTCCAAATGAGAAGCGTCTTCCCACTGCGCCTGGAGAGGCTCTAGCAGCTTGCAGTGTCGGACGGAACAGGACCACGGCCCCGGGGAGGTGGGCGGAGCGGGGCGTGGACGCGCCGCGGGGCCGGGGCCACCTTTCCAGTCCGCCCGCTGGGGTAGCGGAGCCTGGTGTTTGGGCTTTTTTTGTTCTTGGGGTATCTGTCCTTTCTGTTTGGGGAAGACTTTCAGTGAGGTGGGTTCTGGGACGGGGAAGAGCTACTGCTTGGAGCCACGGCCTCTCCGTGGCTCCGCCTTCCGCTCCCGGAAGGTGAGCTCTACAGCCAGTGTCCCAAGCTGCCCGAGTCTCAGTCCAAGACTTGCCTGGGCATCTCCCCCGCCCTTCCCTTGCTCTTTCCACTTCTATCCAATTTCTTGGCCTCGCTCCCACCCCCGGCCTTTTTCTTCTCTGCAGTGCCCAACCATGGTGGAACAGTGATTAAGAGCTTGGCTACTAACCAGAAGACTGGCAGTTTGAATCCACCGACTGCTGTTTGGAAATCCTATGGGCCAGTTCTGTTCTGTCCTGTAGGATCACTATGAGTTGGCATCGAATCCGTGGCAACGGGTTTGGGTTTTCTTTTTGGTTAGTGCCCAACCCAGCTCAGCACTGGTGCCCGGGATCACCTGTCTGTTTGCGCCTGGGCTCCATAAGCCCTTTCATCTGGTTCTTGTTATAAAACTGGCCGCTCCTCATTCTCTGCAGCCCATCCAGAGGCTGTCCTGTGGAACGTAGTATCGGCAGGCGGAAGAGTGCCACATCAGATGAATTTGGGAAAAGCCAGCTTAAATATAGTTTAGACAGTGATAGTCATCCCTTTAACGTGCTGTGTACATCGCAAACCCGAGAACAGCTGCATTTTCCAAGCCTGTGTGATCATGGAGCTTCAGTGTTCTCTTCCCTTCTGTGTACTTTTTCTAATTATCACCGCAAAGGTCTTGTTGGACTCACCGTGAATTCCACCTTGAATTGTTATAGTTCCCGGGGGGCATCTCATGGTGGCAGTGGCAGGACAACTTCAGCTTCATGGACCCTCCTGGAATGCTTGTCATATATGGAGTTCCATAAACATTTGACAGTAAATAAAACAGTGAACTGTAAAGTACTAGGTTGTAATTTGGCATCTCTGCATTACATGTTTCTAGATATGGATCAGGAACTTTCCAGGTTGGTAGAAGAGCTCACAACTTCCGGAGAATCCCTTCTGAATCCTGAGAAAATGAAGGAACTGAAGAAAATTTGCAAGTATGTACCAGGGTTCAGCATTTCATGACTGACTGGCCCAGTGGGTCTGTAATATATTCAGAGACAGAGGCTTCCCCTGGGGTCTGGCCTTCTGCCCACCGGCATATATTTCAGCCATCCCCTGCCCGCCCCCACAATTACCTCCCTCGCCCTGGGAAAGAACAGCCAAAGGAACATACAGGCCCAGGTCATTTCCCCAAGGCACCCCAGTGCCCAGATCCTGTGACAGGAATGTGTGTTGGGAAAGGTTAGAGGTCCCAGAGGGCGAGTTGCTTGTTGGCTCGGCAGGCCCTGTCTGTCTTTAGACATTAGAACATGTCCAACACGTCCATCCCCAGCCGTCTCTTCCTTAGCAGACAGTGCTAGCTGCATCTGTGCTGTGCACGAGCAGATCTCTTGAGGCAGCCGGAGAGCAACGAGGAGGGAAAACGCCTTCCTCTCAGACCCTGGGTTTGTACACTGAGACTCACTGATTACCCTGTGTCCTGAGTTTACCAAACAGGACCACTTAGCTGATTGCCTATTAAATGATAGAGACTGTACATTTTGATCAAAAATTTCAACTTGGCTATGTATATTTTCACCAAAAAAAAAGGTCCTCGAGGTCAAGAAGGAGAGTGTTGACATGTCGTGGGGTTGTTAACCAATATCATAAAACAATATGTGTACCGACTATTTAATGAGAAACCGTTTGTTCTGTAAACCTTCATCTAAAGTACAATGGAAAAAAAAAATCTCTCTTAAAAAAAAAAAAATTTCAACTTGGATCAGCCTTAGCTGCATGCCCCAGAAAACCTCCAGATAACAGTGATTTACCCACGGGGGCAGGAGCGGGGCAGAAGAGGCTCAGAGGATATGTGCCAGCTCCCTTCCAGTGCAGACTCCCTGAAGCTGCCAGAGACCCTTCTGCTTTCGCTCCTGTCACTGGCTGTACCTAGCTGCAAGGGAGGCTGGGAGGTGTGGTCTCCACTTTGGATGGTATGTAAAGAGCCAAAGAGTAAATATTTTAGGTTTTGCGGGCCACATGGTCTCTTATGACAACTCAGCTCTGCAAAAGCAGCTATAGACAATTGTCTTAGGCTGGGTTTTCTGTTGTCGTTAGGTGCCGTTGAGTCGCTTCGGACTCATGGCGACCCTGGGTACTTCAGAACGAAACACTGCCTGGTCCTGCACCATCCTCACGATCGTTGTTATGCATGAGTCCATTGTTGCAGTCACTGTGTCAGTCCTTGTGGTTGAAGGTCTTGCTCTTTTTCTCTGACCCTGTGCTTACCAAGCATGATGTCCTCCAGGGACTGATCCCTTCTGATAACATGTGCAAAGTATGTGAGACGTAGTCTCGCCATCCTTGTTTTTAAGGAGCATTCTGGTCATATTTCTTCCAAGACAGATTTGTTTGTTCTTTTGGTAGTCCAGGGTTTATTCAGTATTCACTAACACCACAATTCAAAGACATCAATTCTTCTTTGGTCGTCCTTATTTGTTATCCAGCTTTTGCATGCGTATGATGCGATTGAAAATATTATGGCTTGGGTCAGGTGCACCTTAGTCTTCAAGGTGACATCTTTGCTTTTCAACATTTTAAAGAGGTCTTTCGCAGCAGATTTGCCCAACGCAATGGGTCTTTTGATGTCTTGACTGCGGCTTCCGTGGACATTGTTTGTGGACCCAAGTAAAACGAAATCCTTGACAACTTCAGTCTTTTCTCCGTTTATCATGATGTTGCTTATTGGTCCAGTTGTGAGGATTTATGTTGAGGTGTCATCCCTACTGAGGGCTGTAGTCTTTGATCTTCATCAGTGTTTCAAATCGTCTTCACTTTCAGCAAGCAAGGTTGTGTCATCTGCGTAATACGAGTTGTTAAGGAATCTTCCTCCAATAATGATACCCCGTTTTTCTTTACAGAGTCCAGCTCCTTGGATTATTTGCTCAGCATACAGGTTGAATAGGTATGTTGAAAAAATACAACCCTAACGCACACCTTTCCTGACTTTAAACCACACAGTATCCCCTTGTTCTGTTCGAACAACTGCCTCTTGATCTATGTACAGGTTCCTCATGAGCACAATTAAGTGTTCTGGAATTCCCATTCTTCTGTATGTTATCTGTAATTTGTTACGATCCACACAGCTGAATGCCTTTGCATAGTTAATAAAACACAGATAAACATTTTTCTGATATTCTCTGCTTTCAGCCAGGCTCCATCTGACATCAGCAATTATATCCCTGGTCCCGTGTCGTCTTCTGAATCTGGCCTGAATTTCTGGCAGTTCCTGTCTATGTAGTGCTGCAGCCGCGTGTGATATTAATGGTATTGTTCGATAATTCCCACATTCAGTTGGATCACCTTTCTTGGGAGTAGGCATAAATATGGATCTCTTCCAGTAGGTTGGCCAGGTAGCTGTCTTCCAAATTTCTTGTCATAGATGAGTGAGCACTTCTAGCGCTGCACCCATTTGTGGAAACATCTCAATTCATATTCTGTGAATTCCTGGAGCCTTCTTTTTCGACGATGCTTTCAGCGTAGCTTGGACTTCTTCCTTCAGTACCATCAGTTCCTGATCATATGCTACCTCTTGAAATGGTTGAACGTTGACCAGTTCTTTTTGGTATAATGCCTCTGTGTATTCCTTCCATCTTCTTTTGATGTTTCCTGCGTCGTTTAATATTTTTCCCATAGAATCCTTCACTATTGCAACTCGAGGCTTGAATTTTTTCTTCAGTTCTTTCAGCTTGAGAAATGCTGAGCGTGTTCTTCCCTTTTGGTTTTCTATCTCCAGCTCTTTGCACAGGTCATTATAATACTTTACGTTGTATTCTCCAGCTGCCCTTTGAAATCTTCTATTCGCTTCTTTTACTTCATCGTTTTTTCTTTTGCTTTAGTTACTTAGCATTCAAGAGCAAGTTTCGGAGTCTCTACTGATATTCATTTTGGTCTTTTCTTTCTTTCCTGTCTTTTTAATGACCTGTTGCTTTTTTCATGTATGATGTCCTTGATGTCATTCCACAACTTCTCTGGTCGTTGGTCATTAGTGTTCAATGGGTCAAATCTATTCTTGAGATTGTGTCTAAATTCAGGTAGGATATACTCAAGGTTGTACTTTGGCTCTCGTGGACTTGTTCTAATTGTCTTCAGTTTCAATTTGAACTTGGATTTGAGCAGTTGATGGTCTGTTTCACAGTCACCCCCTGGCCTTGTTCTGTCTGATGATATTGAGCTTTTCCATTGTCTTTTTCCACAGATGTAGTCGATTTGATTTCTATGTATTCCATCTGGCAAGGTCCACGTGTATAGTTGCCATTTATGTTGTTGAAAAAAGGTATTTGCAATGAAGAAGTCATTGGTCTTGCAGAATTCTATCATGCGATCTCCGACATTGTTTCTGTCGCCAAGGCCATGTTTTCCAACTGCTGATCCTTCTTTGTTTCCAACTTTTGCATTCCAATCAGTAGTAATTATCAATGCATCCTGATTGCATATTCGATCAATTTCAGACTGCAGAAGCTGGTAAAAACTTCAATTTCTTCATCTGTGGCCTTAGTAGTGATTGGTGCCTAAATTTGAATAATAGTCATATTAACTGGTTTTCTTGTAGGCATATGGATATTATCCTATCACTGACACTGTTGTACTTCAGGATAGATTTTGAAATGTTCTTTTGACTATGAATGCAATACAATTCCTCTTCAAGTTGTCATTCCTGGCATAGTAGTCCGTATGACTATCCAATTCAGAATGGCCGATACCAGTCCATTTCAGCTCGCCAATGCCTAGAATATCGATGTTTATGTGTTCCATTTCATTTTTGATGATTTCCAATTTTCCTAGATTCATACTCTGTATATTCCACATTCCAATTATTAAGGGATGTTTGCAATGGTTTTTTCTCATTTTGAGTCGTGCCGCATCAGCAAATGAAGGTCCCAAAAGCTTTGTTCCATCCACGTGAATAAGGTCGACTCTGCTTTGAGGAGGCAGCTCTTCCCCAGTCGTCTTTTGAGTGTCTTCCAACCCAAGGGGCTCATTTTCTGGAACTATATCAGACAATATTCTGCTGTTATTGATAAGGTTTTATTGGCTAATTCTTTTCAGAAGTAGACTTCTGGGTCTTTCTTCCTAGTCTGTCTTAGTCTGTGAGCTCAGCTGAAACCTGTCCACCATGAGCCACCCTGCTTGTATCTGAATACTGGTGGCATAGCTTCCACCATTACAGCAACACGCAAGGCTCTGCAGTAAGACAAACTGACAGACGTGGGTTTTCTAGAGAAGCAAAACCAGTGAAGAGCATATATATATGTAGAGAGACAGAGAAATTTTCTCAAGGAAATGGCTCACACGGTTGTAGAGGCTGGCAAGTCCCAAGTCCGTGGGTCAGATGTCAGGCTGGAGGCTTCTCCTGACTCATGTAGCTGCAGGGGGCTGTTGAGCCCAAGATCAGCCGGTCAGATGGCAGGCTGCTGGCTTGTGGACTGTGGAGGCTGATGAATCCAAGATCGAAGGTAAAATGGCAGGCTGCTGGCTAACAGGTTGCAGGGGCTGATGAATCTCAAAATCGGCGGGTAAGACGACAGGCTGCTGGCTCACAGGCTGCGGTGGCTGATGAATCCCAAGATTGGCAGGCAAGACAACAGGCCACTGGCTCAAGTCCCAAGAATTGGAGGTCTGATGATGACAAGCTGGATGAGGGATGGAGAACAAGCGAGCGAGCTTTGCCAGAACCTCCGTGTATATTGGATGCAGGCCATACCCACAAGGAAACTCCCTTTTCAACCGATTGCTTACATCAGATCACAAAATGGAGGATAACTATCTCATCACATAACTGCCCAACCACTGAGGATCGTGGCCCAGCCAAGCTGACACACATCGTTAACCGTCACAACAGTGTACGAATGAGCGGACGTGGTTGTGTCCCAAGAAAGCCTTACGGGCACTGAAATGTGGATCTCATAGAATTTCATGTGTCATGAAGTATTATTTTTTTCTTTTTATTTCAACCATTTTAAAACATAAAAAGCATCCTCGGCTTGAGGGCCATACACAAGCAGGAGGTGGGCAGGTTCGCCGAGGGCCGTATTGGTTGACCGTGCCCCAGAAGGGGAGAATGAAGATGAGGAGACCGCCAGGGGTCTCTGCCACACATGAATGCTGTGTCCGTATACAGGGAGCGTGTACTTAATTTGGGGAGGAACCAATGAGCCTCCTTGTCCTTTACGAGCCGAGCTCTTGGCTGAAGCCAGTTTGCACCCACAGGTCTTCAGAGGATCAGCTCCGCCACGCGTACCACCTGCTGATGACCCAGCTGAACCAAGAGCATGCTGAGATCCGCCTCTCTGCCTTCCAGGTGGTAGACGCGCTCTTCGCCCGGTCGCATCAGTTCAGGGTGCTGGTTGTTTCCAACTTCCAAGAGTTCCTGGAGCTGACGCTGGGCACGGATCACGAGCAGCCCCTGCCGCCCCCCAGGGAGGTGGCCCAGAAACTGCGGCGGGCAGCCATCCAGGCTGTTGAGGGGTGGAACGAGAAGTACGGCGAGGCCTACAAGAAGCTGGCCTTGGGCTACCACTTCTTACGACACAACAAGCAGGTGGGTAGGCCTGACGTGTGTTGTCTTGGCGGGTCCGCTGGGTGCCCTGGGGAGGAGGAGAATGGAGGAGGGAGCTAGTACTCTTCCGGCTGAGTCTGGTGTGTGGGGAGGGTGTCGGTGCCTGGGCGTCCAGCCCTGCACAGCCTCCCCTCCGCTGCCTTGGGGTTCCACACAGACGTGCTTTGATGACTGTCCTGTAATGGGGGATGGTGGTGGATTTGGGAGTGTGTTTTAACGGCAGAAAGGAAATGACTTGCTGGACCAGCTGTGGGGTTGTGGGAGAGGATGGTCCAGGAACCTGTGGAGGAGGAAGGTTTTTAGGAGAGTCAGCCGAGGCACTGCTGGCTTGAGTCCAGGATAGCCATCTGGGGGGCTGGTGGGCAGAGTCCAGGATAGCCAGCAGGGGGTTTGTGGGCAGGGTCCAGGATAGCCAGCAGGGGGGCTTGTGGGCAGGGTCCAGGATAGCCAGCAGGGGGCTGGTGGGCAGGGTCCAGGATAGCCAGCAGGGGGCTGGTGGG